CCCCCTTGCCGATCGATCACACCCGCTGTATGCTCCTTGTCATGATTGGGAAATAACGGAAAACTCCGCGTCAATTCAGTGTGTAAATAATGGACTAACAATTGGTATGAAAAACGTCAGTCAGCATTTGACTCAATGATAAATTGTATTTGCTGACAAGGTCATTGTCTCGACCATAGAACATACGAAATGATGACTTTAAACGGCGAGACTGCTGATAGGCTTGTTTCATCAACTTGTTTGTCAATAATATACCACGTTAAAGAAATTGTACATACTTAGAATATGCTCTTGCGTATCGAATCAACTGAGAGATATAAAATATGTATGCAGATGATGAAGGGATATTGCTGCATAAGTAAGGGAAGTTGACGATAGTTAAAGTCATCACGTTTATCACAGAGCTTGGTTGTTAGATTACCATTAACGTCCTTTTCAAGTAAAATATCCAAATATGAAACAAATGTGTCAGACACAGTAATATCTTTTTTTTCGCAAACTCACCGGGATTTATCTAATTGACAGTACGTCGGCGATATATCTAAATGTCGAGTTGAAGGCCACTACATGTGTTTTCTTCTTTTCACGTATAAGATTTTGGACAAATTCTGCTTTATATGAATACAAAAATAGGTCTTCTAATAACGGGGCGCAATTGGTAGAAATGGGTATTCCAGTAGATGGTTGGAAGACCTGGTCTCCAAAAACTACATAGATATTGTCAATCAGAAACTCAAACATCTTTTAAATGTCAGCCTCAGAGCACTTGTGTATACAATCAGAATGTTTTTTAAAAAAATAATTTTGCAAATGACCAATGACAAGGTAAGTAAATTAACGCGTTCCATTCTTATTTAGCGAAGCGCGCAAACAATGCAAATAAAACGAGGAAAAATAAAGAAAGTCTGAAGAAAGCAAGTAAACATTGCAAAAAGGTAATGGATAAATCAATAAAACAGTACAGAAAAGATTTATCGCAGAAACTTATGAAATTACGTGCCCCGTGGGGATCCGGGTTAGAAAAGGTCCTCAGTACCCCCTTGTTGTCGTAAAAGGCGACTAAATGGGGCGGTCCTTCGGATGAGACCGTATAAACCGAGGACCCGTGTCACAGCAGGTGTGGCACGATAAAGATCCCTCCCTGCTCAAAGGCCGTAAGTGCCGAGCATAGGACTAAATTTGCAGCCCTTCACCGGCAATGGTGACGTCTCCATATCAGTGAAATATTCTGGAGAGGGACGTCAAACAGTATACAATCAATCAATATGAAATTACGTACAACAAATACAAAAGAATATTGTAACATTCTTAATAGACTAAATGATCAGAAAAAAGCTCTGCGGATTTAGACTCGATGTTTAAATATTTTAGAGAAATGAATGAAACTAGTGGTATTGAAAATACTGAGGTTAACTGGCCGAACTATTTACATGTATATAATTACAATAATAATGATCATCTGTTAGACTACCCAATTATCAGGGAGGAAATTTCATCGGCTATTAATGATTTAAAGAATAGTAAGGTCCAAGGCTTCGATAATATTCGATAATATTTTAAATGAGCACATGAGAACAACTTATTATTTTTGCCAATTCATGAAACTTTTTTCAATCTTATTTTTGAAACTGGTATTGTACCAGAAAACTGGTTAACTGGTATCCTGAAACCAATCTACAAAAATAAGGGTGACCCAACGCACCCTGAAAATTACCGCCCGATTACCCTTTTAAGCTGTAACGCCTTTCTTATTTTCATTAAATATTAATGACTTAGAAGATTTTTTGACAGAAAAGAATATTGTCGGTTTGTCTAGTATTAGCAAAGGTATAGAGGATGAGTTGTTTTTGTATATGAAATTGTTTATCTTATTTTATGCCGATGATACTGTAATTCTTGCGGAAACTGCTGAAGATCTTCAGAGAGCACTAAATGAATTTTACAAATATTGTGAAGAATGGAAATTATGTGTGAATATTAAGAAAACAAAGATACTTATTTTTTCAAAGGGTAGACAGCCAAAGAATATTCTTACATATAATGGCAGTGTCATAGAAGTAGTCAAAGATTTTAATTATTTGGGGATTATATTTTCTCGTACAGGCTCATTATGTAAAGCAAGAAAACACCTATGCGAACAAGCGCAAAAGGCGATGTATGGTGTGATACGTAAGATTAGGCAGTTTAATCTCCTTTTCTAATGTCAATTGGATTTGTTTGATAAAGTAGTTTTACCAGTATTGTTATATGGCTGTGAAATATGGGGTTATGAAAATATCGATATTATTGAACGAGTACATTTACGTTATTTAAAACATATATTGAATTTGAAAAGTAGCACTCCAAGTTATATGATTTATGGAGAAACTGGACGGTTTTCATTACACATAAATATTTACTCAAGAATGATAAAATATTGGGCAAAACTTGTGATTGGAAAAGAAAAAAAATTGTGTAAAATTGTTTATATGTATTTACGTAAACAACACAATAAAGGAGTAATGAAAAACTCATGGATATCATTTGTACAAAAGATTTTTGATAGATGTGGTTTATCAAATATTTCGTATGAGCACGAACAATATTTATATAATGTAGAATGGATAACTGCTACAGACAAACAAAGATTAAAAGATCAATATATTCAAATGTGGAATAGTGAAGTTTAAGAATCTTCAAAAAGTTTGAATTATAGAATTTATAAATTTTGAGTGCGAAAAATATTTAACTCTGTTATTACTTAAATTTAGGAAAACTTTTGTTAAGTATAGAACCACAAATCACCACCTTCCAATTGAAACAGGCGGATGGAATGGTACTCAGAGAAATGAAAGAGTTTGTAGCTTATGCAGTAGTAACCAGATAGGAGATGAATATCATTATATCTTAGAATGTAGTGCTTTAAACCAACTGAGGAAAGTTTATTTGAACCAAAAATTTTGTTCTAATCCAAATATTATCAAGTTTTGTGAAGTCATGTGTCAAAAAGATGTTGATTCTTTGAAAAAATTATGTATATTTATTTCTAAAATTAATAATATTGTCTGTTCTCCTTAGTTATCACCTTCTGCTAGACCCACTGTATTATATGTATATATGTTATATGTGTTTTTGTTCCTCATGTACCATTTACATGGTTTTGAGTGAATAAATTGAATTGAATTATTGAAAAAGCAGCTGTCAATGATTTGAAAAAGCCTTAATTTTAATTTATCGGGGTGGGGGGTGGGGGTGTATAAAGTAGAAAAGTATTCTTTTAGGCTGGGGGTAAAATCTTGTGATCTCAAATTGTCCAAAAGTTTCTTGGAATTTTTTAGCATTCACATTTGATTTATACCACTTCTCGAATATATTGTTGAACGGGGGGGGGGGGCTTTTAAAATGTAGAAAAAGTATTTTTTTAGGCTGTTGGTTTTGGTAAAATTTCATGTTGTGCATCTGCTTCCAGGCCCGTGCTGATGACCTAAGCTACCACACAAAAATTGTACATACCAATGAACAAGATATTGGAATTTTTCAAGCTACAATTCATCCTGTGAACCCACCCCGCTTCTCTGGTGAAATACCGGTAGACCACTAGTCTCGTATTTCTAGTCCATATCCCCTATTCAGTAGTAGTGACACTAAAGTGTCATATTTCAATAAAATATACAAGGCCACCAATTCCCTCCAAATGCACCCATAAAATATTCTAGCTATAAAATTACCTATAATATGCATTCAAACCTCAGGTTTCTCTATTTTTTCTATTTTTTGACGGTGAAACTATCCTCTGCCACCTTCACTACTTGATAATCAAGGAAGAGGCATTTATTGGAACCCTCTATGTATCTTTGTTTGTTTCGGAATCCAATATACGGAGATATGATAATTCAAATTCATTTTGATTACTAGTATTTGGGATATTAAAAATATTCAAAACTGACATATGATTTTGAAGAATTTCTTCTTTAGATAAGGAAATATGAGTAAAAGTTGGATTACCGCATGTAGAATTGAATCCAAGTTCTTTTAAGATACAATTTTATAATGAGCCTTACAAAGGAAGACAATGTTGTTACCTGCTTTGTCAGCAGGCCCGAGGGACCAGTTCGTACTGGTCGTTTAATGTCAATATTTTCCATTATTTCTGAAACATCTTAACAATTTATGTAGTAATATTCATTGCGTATTTTTCCGTTTTTACAAAGTAAACATATTCTTTCTTTAAGAGGTACTTTACGATTATTTGATGTGCGCAAATAAACAATATCTTTTTTTTTCTTTTAAGGTAAGATATGTTGAAAAAGGAATAAATTGACATGTACAAATAAACTTTACTTTTCAAGTAATCAAACTCTTGGAAGAATTCATTTTCTTCTTCGTCTATTTCCACAATTCAAATAGGTCATCTGCTTTTGATACAGAAACAAAAAAAAATCTCAGATCAGTAATCTATAATCTAAAATTTACTTGTATATAGGAAACTCTTGTATCTTCTGAAACTGAAGAAGAATGATTTTGCTTACTCATGAAAATGAAATCTTGGACAAGGAAGAATTAAATGCACTTTTTATCGTTGTTGATGATGGAAAATCATGTTTTTTTTTATTGTTTTTTTTTATAATTTTTGATGTTCATGTTAGCTAAAACTCTTTGCAAGTCTAAACACACAATAGTAAAAGAAGGGGGCAGGTGATGAAAGAGAGTGTGTTTGACAGATAGGTAGGGGCGTTGACTCAAATACTAGTATAAGAAAATGGGCCCAAATCACAGCTAGATTGACTAAAATGAAAGTCTACTGTGAGAATTTTTACATCACTTGTATTCAATTATTAATAAAAACATATTTAAATTTAAATTATGTTTATTGGAATTATAAGGTTAAATATTTATTACTTTAATAATTGAGCAGATAAATTTTACCCTCCTTTATTGTGATCCAAAGATACAGAACGTGAAAAAGGTTTTATAACTTTCTTTATTACCGAAAAAAACATACAAAATACAATGTACATGTATTTGATGCAGATTTTTTTTTTGTCTCCGGTGTATTTAATGAATTAGTATTCTACTATCGTGTATAATGAACATTTGAAACGTAATAAAAATAAACATGAAAAGCTCTTTAAATGCAGTATAAATGGGAATTTTACCAAGAATTTAATTTTGGCATTATCAGCAAGTGTGCTGAGATCGCTAAAATTGAACACAGCTAAAAATTAATAGCGTTTTATGTGTAAAAGCTCCTTTAGTGAGTATTTTAAAATCTCTAAAATTACTTATCGCTCAAACTAAAATATTAAAGGAGAAATTTAATTTTAAATTTTAAGGAGAAATCGCTAAATTTGCGTCTCGCTAAAATATCCACTTACACTGTAGTACTGACAAATCATAATAAAAAAAACTAGTTATATAACTTCAAACAGGCATGTATATTTTTGCTCGCATATATGTTCAAACGAAAATATATTTCTCCCTTAATCCACACAAGATATTTGATCTCAATTTAAAAACACATGAAACGATTTGCTACAGAAATGCTTTGAACTGATGAATTTTGTTTATTATCAGATATGACTGAGTATTCTTGGATTTCTGTTTTCAAACCAATAAAGTCACACTTAAATAGGTCAACGACACAAACGTGAAATTAAAGATACCTATCTAGGAAGAATTCTGATAATTTTTTTAATCACTATTTTCTTGTTTCACATGATCGGTGTCTCTCCCCCACCGGCCGCCACCAAAAGAGTAATCAAATCGCTTTCCAAACCGGCCACCCCCGAGACCGTATTCATAATCCCAGGCTCCTTGGCGCTTGTCGACTTCCTGTTCCTCGTCATCGAAATCAATGTCCCAGTCGCTCTTGTCTAGGTCGTCTGTATGTTTGTCCCCTTCCAAAACTTTGTCACTATCCGCCATTGACTCCATGTTCACTGGAGTACCGAGAGCTAGAATCAGTCCTATTTCACTGCGTTGTTTTCTGGTATCTGATCGTAGTCTGTCCCTGGTGTTTTCCTCTTGTTTATGCTTTGTTCCATGGATTTCTTGTAAGTTACTGAAAAGTTTTGATAGCTGTGAAATGCTGTCTTCTGTTTGAGAGCTTCCATTTGTAAATGTAAACGAAAGGCAAAGAATTAACACCGAAGAGATGAACAGGTGTTCCAAAGAATTCTTCATCTGAAATCATAAAATGTAAAGGATGAATTCTTCTCATATTTATTGCCCTAAGAAAATTACGTTTATTCACAGTATCATTGATATTATTAAGAATTGGTGTCAAAATAAATAAAATTGGGTAGTCTTATTTTACAGCAAAGTCTAGTCAAAGTCATTTTCTTTTCCTTATCATTAAGGAGGTTGGTTCCAGTCATCAAATACATAATAATGTATTGAGAATTTTTTGTCAAGTATATTTTTAGAATCTACACACATAGCTTGATAAAAGAAACAAATTCTCTCTTTTCTACGGAGCAATTAAGTTGACATTTTTGTACCATAATTATGTTTAACACATAAATCGATTTTCAAAGTTTTTCCTTTAATATTTTTATTCAAATGAATTATTGGATTAAACACTTTTTTCCCATCTAAAATTGTCACATTAAAAATTGTGAAAACAAAACTAGTTTCAAATTTCTTTTCATGGTCAATTATTTGACCTTTTATCAAAAATGTTATTTTTTTAGTTTAAAATTAATAATTCAGATGATCTCCATGTGTTTCATTGAGAGTAATGATTTTTTTCTGATATTAAGCAGAGTGGTTTAACTTGTCTTATATATTCAGAAATGAAATAAACAGTGGGGGTCTGTGATGTTAAGTTTTAGATATTGCTTAATTAATTAAGCTTAAATTGTATTTTCACGATATATTTTATATATTTTCACACACAAGTAGTCTGAAGTTGACATCAAAAAGATGCTAGAGTTTCTAATTGACAACATCTATGTTGTTTTTGGAGACCAGGTATTCCAACAATCTGTTGGAACTCCAATGGGTACCAATTGCTCTCCGTTATTAGCAGACCTTCTTTTATATTCATATGAAGCAGAATTTGTGCAAAATCTTATGCGTGAAAAGAAGAAAACACTTGCTGTGGCCCTGAAACTCGACATAATTACGTATTGTCAATTAACAATGGTAATTTCCATTCCTACGTCGATACGATATATTCTGGTGAGCTCGAGATAAAAGATACCACAGAGTCTGGCACATCTGTTTCATACTTGGATATTTCACTTGAAAAAGACGTTAATGGTAATCTAACAACCAAGCTATATGATAAACGTGATGACTTTAACTTTTCTATCGTCAAAATGCAGCAATATTCATCACCTGCATACGGAGTATATATATCAGTTGATTGAAAAGAGCATCCTTATTAATTTATAAAACTAGGTAAATTATTGACAAGCAAGTTGATGAAACAAGAATATACAGTCTCTTGAAAAGTCATCATTTCGTAAGTTCTATGGTCGAATAATGACCTTGTCAGCAAATACAATTTATCATTGAGTCAAATGCAGACTGACGTTTTTCATACTAATTGTTAGTCCATTATTTATACACTGAATTTACGATGGATTTTCCTTTATTTCTTGATCATGACAAGGAGCACATGGCGGGTGTGACCGGTCACAAAATTTGGCACCTGATCCCACTTCTGATGTTTCGGAGGTGCGTGTTTGCTCTGGTCCTATTATGTATTGTTTTATGGACTTTGAGATTGAATACTCTTCGTTATCTCCATATCCTCCTTATGATAATAGAATTCATGAACGTTAATTTAATAATTCAGGACCAACATAGAACATTTCACTGCACAAAACTACTCTGTGTGCAGGCTGCATGTAAAAATAAGAATCCAAACTTAACAATACTGAATACTTTGAAAGAGGAAAATTGATCTTTTTCTTCTTAAAAAAATCTTCCGCCATAAAATATAGTTCCTCACTAAATATTTTCTGTATGAAATTTAATCATGGGTTTTGATTGAATATAGTTTAATAAGCATTATAAAATTCAAATTTGATGTAAAAACTAAAACATCATGTAGATTTTTTTAAAAATAGAGGTCAAGACAAAAATCAGCTGAAAAGCTGAAGAGCGAACCTCGTTAACAACAAAAATACAGTTGCCAATCACGTGCTTCCTATAATTCTATTGAAAAACTAAATGTTATTTTCTTCTTGCGTAGAAAGGTATATATCAATCGCAACTTCTCGGGCCTTTCCGACTAGCGAAAAAACGACCCCGAATGTATATGGTAGACGCCACTACAACCCTCCTTTTTCATGATCTTTGAAATAAATGCATGGAGACCTTTTATCTGTGGAATATGGAGTTTAACTTATTTAATGTAATGATATTACCTAAAATATACAATAAAAGGGATTCCTAACTCACTCTATCCTATATTTGAATAAACAGGAAATGTATAAATTTTAAACATCCGGTTGTTAAAGATAATTTTTTTCTGGTACGGAAAAAAAAAAGAATGCGATTGAGGTATATATATCACATAAAATCACCTAGATAACATCACTAAACTTAATATTTTTCCGAATTTCCTCTTATTTTCATTTTTAATGGAAATTATTTTAGTATACTTCGTATTTTATAAAAAAAAATTTGGCGATTTATTTTTAAACAGATCTTTGCTACTAAAAGCAAGTTGATGTTAAAGGGATATTTTTATAAAGAAATGCAAGCAATGGTAATCTTTTTGGAGATTTTATATTGAAGTACAAATGCTATAAATCAAGAAGAATCGATCATTGAAATTACAGTATAAAACACCAGTAAAGCGACAAAAATAGGAAGGAACGAATCAAGGACATGTTTTTAATAATCAAAAATTGATTTGAATTAGAGAGACTTTGAGCATTGACTGTTCCAAAAATGAATTCCATCGCTTTTGTTTGAATATAATGGCAAAGTCCATGCTTTGCTATGGAAAAACACCCAATTTCAAAACAGAGAAAAATAGGAGATGCACAATGGCACTTTGCAGTGAAGATTATGTGAAAAGTTTCATTAAATGATATTTAGTGGTATAGGAGGAGTTGTGGATAAGAGGGGGTATACTCAATGTTAAAGAAAGGTAAATAGAAACCAAACAATGAAACACTAAAATAGAATTCCTCTGACAACCTCAACAAATTTTATTTAGTGGTAACGGAAAAAATATAGGTATGAAAATAATTAATGGTTAGTATGCTCAAAAATACAAATCAGGGGCAGAGCAAACACAGACCTCTATAAACATCGGAGGTGGGATCAGGTGCCATGGAGGAGTAAGCATCCCCTGTCGCCTTTAATACACGCCTTTTGTTCCTTGAAATGATTTGGGGGAAAAAACAGAAAAATCGGTCCACAGTTCAATGTACCAATGTATAAGCAATGACCTAATACTTTGAATGAAACATGTCAGTCAGCTTTCAACTTAATCAGATTGTATTTGCTGACAAGTTTATTGTATGAGCCATAAAATTTGCGAAATATTGACTTAAACAAAACTGTTAATATTCTTAATTCATCAACTTTTTTTAATAGCTTGCAATAAAATGTTTGTTCTCACTTCATCCTTTGCCTATCTAGTCAACTGAAAGACATGAAGCCCATGTGCAGGTGAAAAGGAAGTTGGCGTTAGAAAAATTGAAGTACATGTATTAATTTTTATTATAAAATATTATTGTTAGATTACAATAAATGAATGTTTTTCTAGTACAATTTAAATATAACACAAATATGTTTGACTCTTCTAGTATCGTTATCTCAAGTTCACTGGGATATATCGAATGGAATTCAAGGAACTACTGTTAACTGATACTAGTAATACGTCTTTGATTTATCAATGTCAAGTGAAAGGCTGCACTTTTTTCTTATGTACCCGTCATAGATTTTTTAATAAATTCTGCTTCATATGAATACAAAAAATATGAATACAAATATAGGTATGCTAATAACTGGACACAAATGGTACATGTACTCGTGAAAAAAAAAACAAAACAAAAAAGATCAAACAAAACACGGCAATCATGAATTCCTCCATTCAAATATGTGACATTGGAGTTTACATTTCTTCTGCCTTATCACTCATTTCATATTTCGCTAAGATAACAGAAAATGTTTCTTAAATTGTGCAAATATATAGGTTTTGATTACAAACAGTTATTCAGGCTTCAAAAGTCCATTAAACAGTACACAAAATAAGGATTTCAAATGTAAACACTGAAAAAACCTCCAATAACATCACATGACCGAATCAGCAAGATGGTAGATCACCGTTGACGTCCGAGGTAATGTGCGAGGTACGAGTCATCCGAGGAACTCCGAGTGGCAGAAATATAGCGACATTGGAGTTTATGTTTTCTATTGAAAAAGGTGAAGATAACGAACTGGGATCAGTACAATACATGGATAAAATGAATATTATTCGGGCTCAAACGTCCACAAAACAATACAAAACAGGAGCAGAGCAAACACGGACCTCCAAAATCTCAGAGGCGGAATCATTAGCCAATCTGATAGAAAACTACAAACAATTCAAGTCTTAACAGGACATAAATACGGACCCTGAGAAAGAACAATAAACCTTATTTTAAAATGATGTTTTGTAATTTAGGTCTTAAAAGTCGTTAACATTTCGGCCTAAAAAGTCTTCGAAACAATTTATCATAAATATTCATAAAGATCTGTCCCTTTATTTTTGAAGTGGTATATACATTATTCTTTGGTTAACTGAATTCTTAGATGTGTTTACACAACCTTCAGAATATTGGAAAATAAAGATTGTTCAGCATTTGTATTTTTACTTGTTATTAAAATGCCACCTCATAATAATTCAAATAATGGGTCATGAAATTGTCTAGAGCAAGTCAGATCAAACAAAATTTTAAAAGTCAACAAGAAAGGTGAATGTCAGAGATATCTTAACGTATTGTTCTTATTTATATGTGAATGAAAAGAAAACTAAGCTGAAAAATAATTAAATGAAATATAAAATACTGTCTATAAGAGTACCTGGGGGGGATATAACTATGTTTTTTTAATTTTCAGTTTTCTTAGATTTGAAATAAAAGGTTGATTTTACGTTATGTTAAAATTCGTTAGTTTTCAGAATTTAAAACACTTATTTATCTGGAAAAATATATTAGAATTTATTCAAGTACCGG